CCCAACCCCCCCAAAGTTTCTTTCTTTAAGTAAAAATGGAGATTCAGGTTTTAAGATGCTGTAGGATTTGAAGTTGTTATTTTTGCTGTTTGGCAGATATTAGGTTAAATCCTGCTTAATGCTCAAATCCTCCTACCCCTTAAGGCGGGCGACGCTCATCTCCAGTTCTCCCTCGGTTGCGTAAGGGCACGAAATTGTGTCGCCATGGATCTTTTAATGAGTGAACTCCGTAAGAAGCGGCAGAGCCTTCAGTCCGATTTCGGCGGAAAAAAGCTTCTCCGCCGCTCCGAGATCGAGGAGAAGAAAATCCAAAAGATCCGTGAGGAGGAGCAGCGCGACGTCCAGGCCAAGAACCTTCGCCAACATCCCCCTTCAACCTCCTCTCTTTCTGCTGCATCTGCTCCTTCCTCATCTTCCGACCAAAACCCTAGCGTCAAATCATCCCTCCCACCGGCCCTCGCCTCTTTAGCTGCGGCTTCCTCCTCTAAGAAACACTCTGACTCCCTCTCCGAGGAGCAGCGCATCGATGACCTCGTGCTCTCCCGGCAGGATGTCATCCGCCATCTGCGTGTCCTAAAGCAGCCCATCACAGTTTTTGGCGAGGACGACGATGCCCGTCTTGAGCGTCTCAAGATGATACTCAAGTCGGGAATCCTCGATATCGATAGCGACATAACCGAGGGCCAGACTAACGATTTTCTCCGTGACATCTACGAGATGCGCAAACGGCAGAAGGCTGGATCATTTCTTCGAGAAACTAAGCACAAGAGGGATGATTCTGATGGTATGGATTGCAATGGTGTGGAGGATGGCGATAAGAGTCATAGCGGGAATGGAGCTTCATCCGGACCAGATGCAGATAAGGATTTGAAGAGTATGAAGGCTAATTTTGAGGAGCTTTGTGATGAGGATAAAATTCTCGTGTTCTTCAAACGACTTCTCAATGAGTGGAACCAGGAGCTTGACGAGATGCCTGAAGCAGAGAAAAGAACTGCCAAGGGGAAGTCTATGGTTGCTACCTTCAACCAATGTGCTCGTTATTTGAATCCGTTGTTTAAGTTCTGCAGGAAGAAGGTAGAGATTTCTCAATCGTATTCCAAATTTTGATTTTTTTTTTTTTCCTTATTTTGAACCATGCTAAAATGCTACCTTTTAGTGTTATATTATTTTTCTCATGCTCTTGCAGTATGATTTGTGTAACTAATAGCAAGCAATCTTTTTTATAAGTCATAAGGTTTCACAAGTAATAATAGCAGTGCCAATGTGAGCAAGGGAGTTTTATTGGGTTTATTTATGGCTTCGTTTGGGTAGCCCTTTGTTTTTCCTGATTTTGTTGTTAAATAATACTTATACAACCAAAGTTTCTGTTATGCATCTACAACTGTATATTTTTCATCTATCTAAATCTACACTTTAAGTTAATGAGTTTCTTTTATTTCAACGAAATGAAACAATTTTTTAGCATCTATGCCCTCAGTACTTAGCTGCTCACACAATTCTATGAACTTGTTACATGTTAGGATTTCATTTCTAGAAGAAGTTAATAAGCTTCTGTTGCTCATTGGTTACTCATTTCTGTATATAGTTTATTACACAATGTAAGATTTATGTGAAAGGAAGTGCTTGAGATTTACCATCGTCATTTGATAGAGATGGTTAAATCGTGCACGCGGAAAACTAGAAATGCAAAAAATTGTATGCTGCATTTCTTATTCCTGCTAAACATGCATGAGAAAATCATTGTGGATTGAGCTATTGACCTGTGCTATGCAATTTAAAACTTCCATCCCCTTTGTCTGATCAACAAAGAGATCAATAGTCATCCTATATTCTCAAATTTGATTCTCTTGAATGTTTTACTCTCATGAAAACATATGGGGTTTCTTACTAAGTGGGGCAATTGATTCTTCATGTCTCTTCTATCTCATGCATTAGTGGACCCTTGTTTTTTTTGTTTTGATCTTAGAAGCTTGTAACCATTAATGCGATTAAAGGTCATTAATGGGAGTTCATGTTTCGTATTACTAATAAATTTATTTTACATCTTAATGCCCACTATTCAATTTAATTGCTAGACTTTTAAGGCATATTCATATTCTTTTCAATTTTCTATTTGATTTTGGGAGTTTAAAGTGTCATCTCAATCAATCGATGATAATTTTAGCGAATGTATGGTGTGAGTAATTTTCTAATTTATTTTTTTTCCTCTTTTTTTGCTGTCTCATAGGTTATTTTCTTATACTTGTCTCATTAGTTTTGGTGTATTTCTTCTTTATTTTAAGTAAGGGATTAATCATTTTTTAAGTAAGGCTGACATCCTTTAATCATACATCATGATTGTGTCTCTATTGCTTTCTTGTATCCTTTCTTCTCTCTTGTAGACGTAGGATTACTTAGGTCAAACTACATAAGTTTTAGTGTTTTCTTTTTGGCAGTGCTCGATCATTTTAACAACTTCTTTGTGGTTTGTTGTACTTGTTCTTATTTGATATTTCAGCAGCATAGAGTTATTAAACCAGACATATAATTTTCCTAATATAAGTGCCTTTTTATTTAATTAATGAAAACTCCTAACCACAACTCTTCACTTAGAATGTATAACATCATTTACAATTTAATTTTAATAAAATTAACAGATTGAAAAGCATATAAAATAACAAATCATTTTACTCCGTGATGAAAAAAAAAGAAAATTAATGGTAAGTGATGTGAACCTGACGACATAACAAAATAACACTAACTTTGATAAATTTCATTGATAACCAAGGAATTAGGACTTAAATTAACAAAACTAAGTATCATGAATTGCTAGCAAGCACATCAACATTCAAGGATATTCCACATGCTCTTGAATGACATAAATAAGAGTTCCTAGAAACCATGAAAGAATATTAAATTCCTAATGCACTTCCCAACTAAAGAACAAATTCTTTTTTGGAATTTCTTATCCATGCACCTTAGACATATCTTCTCTTGGCGTTCGATGGACAAAGATTCTACCTGCATGCCTGAGATAGCTAAACAACATCGGTTCGAACATTCATTATTTGACAAGGACTTTAGTACGACCAAATACAACACTTCTGAGAGAAGATGTCTGACAGATAGTACAATTAAGAGAAGAGATTACCGATGCTTTGGTGAACGCATCGTCCGTATTTATATAACATCACCTATTTATTTGTTATTGATGATTTCTATTTCAGTTGTACATTGAATTTGTAGATCTATATTTTCTAAATCTTTGTAGCAATGTGTATTGTAGTTTTCTTGATGTGTTCCAACTACATTTTATTTTTAATTATAAAACTGTTTAATTTTCTTTGGTGTTTATGTCTCATATCTACTTATTTTTTGTTAATTTAGTCTGTATTTTATTTTAATAACAAGGCACATGTAATTACAACACATACAAAAGATCTAAAAAGAATGAAAAATCAATCTATTGGAAGAAGAAATTAGCTAAAAGTTTCTTGATGGTCATAAAAATGAACCGAGAATTTGGGAGAAGAGGAAGAAGGAAATGAAGAAGATTTGGAGGAAGAATATTAGGAGATTCATATAAGAAGAGCCAAACGTGTGAGAATTTCAAACGAGAATGATCAGAATACTAATTCTCTTTCTAGTATTCAGACTTGCAAACCTAAATGAGAAATGTTGGGCATGGCCTAAAAGGCGAATATTGTTATGAAGAAATCACAATTTTTTCAAACCTATCAAATAGTTTAAATTAATAGATCAGTGTGAATAATAGTATCCTATATGATTTTGTAAATGAAATTGGAGGCTTATTGTCTAGATAAACTCTAGATGCTCCAAATAGCGTAAAGTTGAGAGGATGGATTTTGTGTTGATGTAAGGTTATAGAATCTAGGCATATTGTGGTCTAGCGTGGGGCAATAAAAATTTGGAAAATTGGCGCTTAACTATGTGCGTGCCTCGATTGAATGGGAAGGAGACAAGTGGAAGGGATTAATTAAGCCAGAGACCTATTACTTATCTTGGGGCAATCCTTTAGAATTTGTGATGCATACTTTTTGCAATCCTCTGTCTCTTTGCCTTCTACATTATGACATTTGCAAGTTCCTTGCCACATCATCGCCATTTGTGATTGTGGAATTGTGGCAGTTATAATTGAATAGACCACGTATTCAACAATTAACTTCGTCAATATTTATGCTAACCATATTTTATTGTAATCAAGCATGTGATTTTGAAGTGTAGCCTTAAAGATGGACGGGAATTTCAATGGTTTCTATATTTATAAATGAGGATATTCGACTTGTACAAAACTTAAAAATCTAGCGTCCTAAAAAATTTTTTGCAAAGCTTTTTTAGTTCTAAGTGTTAGATCATTGGACATAAAAATTTTTTGCTATATATTATCTTTTTGTAGAAGTGTGAGACTCAGTTTTTATTGATCACTTTTCATTCCAGCTACTTTTTTATCATTTGCTTATAAATTTGTTACTGGATTTAGTATGATTGATTTATCCCAAATTTGATACAATCTTGACTTCAAATACTGTGAATTTTTTGTTAAAAAATTATTACATTGTTTCTCATAGAAGTCCACTAAAGTATCATTTAGTGTGATTGATTTCTCCCAAATTTGATACAATCTAGATTCAATTACTATGTGGATTTTATATTAAAAAATTTATACGTTGTTTCTCATAGAAAACTATTAAAGTATCAATCTTTTTCATATTTAGCTTTTTATTGAATATTTGCTAAAAATTAAGAGTTTGTGATATTTAATATTTTATGTGCATGATTTTTTAACCTTGTAGTAGACTTGCATTTGAAACCATAAACCCTTGACATTTTCATCAATTGAGAAGTAGAGTTTTTGGATCTAATTTATTAGTAGTTTTGACCAATCATTGGTCACTTGGATTTTATTTGAATCATCAAATAATTTTTTTCCCAACATAGTGAAACTTAATAAGATTATAAATGGAGTCACAAAGTAGCATTTCCTTATGTTTTATATAATTTTTTAGTTTATAAAACAAATGTTTTCATAAGATACATATTATGATAATTTCTCGTCTTGTTATAAATAAAATATTGTTAAAAATAAACTTATAGAAAATTTCAATGCATGCTCACAATATACTGTTCTTGATTCTCATAGAAGTACTAGGTAATTTGATCAATATAAATGACATTACCAAGCATTCATATAATGTATTTTTTGTTTTAAAAGTAGTTTTTCAATTCACTATCTTCTTTTATTCCAACTTATTGATAGGGTATCATTTATTTATTCCTAAATCCTTATAGAAAATATGACAGTATCCTTCATCATTTCTAGTATGTCATCTAAATGAGGCATATGAAATCTATATTTAATCATGGTTTTATTGATGATTTTACAATTTACACACATTCTCTAATTACCGTTTTTTGTAGGTACAAGAAAGGCTGATAAACATAAAGACTCGTGTTTTTGCTAATAAATTTCTTGTTAACTCATCAACTTGCCTCTTAAGTTCAACATGCTTTGTTAAATTCATCCTGTAATGATACAAATATGGCAATGAATGATTCAAGTACTAAATTTGTAACATGTTGTGTTATCCCTTGGTTGTGATTTATTGGGAAGTTCATTATTCAAATATTTGAAAAATTAATCAACAATTATTTAATATCATCGGGTAAAGTCACAGATCCTACATAGTTCAACTCAAATTCTACTAAGGCATACATCATGCTATCTTGCATACTTTCTTTTTTCTCAAATGCATGTTTACTTTGAATAAGCAAATATCATTTCACTTTATACTGAAAATTAGATTTTTTACATATTTAAGCTTTCACTTAGACTTTGTAGGTTTCGTAACCACTACTTCCTGTTAGTTTTAAAAGCATAAATTTTAAACCTCAAAAAACAAGTAACGTTTAAATCATAATTTCAAGGTTTATTTAAAATAATATGAGCAACATCCATAATCAGCTCGTCATTTTTGATTTTATCAGTATTTGTAGTTAATTGAATTGGAATGAGGCATATTTAATACACATCCCTGGCAGTTTTACATAAGCTATCATATGTTGTTGATGTGGTT